TTGCACTTGCCAGGCAGGCGCTTTTGCCGCTGAGCTAAATCCCCAGCCCCAAGTTACTCTTTCTTATGGAAACTGATTTTAAATCCCATTTTATAGTTGAGGAGATTGTGTTTATATTTACTGAACATTTACTGTGTGCCCGGCAGTAGGATTTGACCAGACTGATCTCATTTATTCTCTGCAGCTGCCCAATACTCCTTTTCAAAGCCTCAGTTCTGAGCAAGATGTGTTGGGAAAACAAGGAGGGGGTTTCAAGTAGTGTGTTCAGTGGTTCTGAGGGCTGCAGAGTCAAGAAAGGGAAAGCCCTGCTCTTGAACCTGGGGTTTGCCACCTGGGAGGTGTTTGAGGACTCGCTGAAGAAGTGATGGGTGATTCAGGCGCCAGGCTGCAGAGATGGGAAAACTTGAGGAGACACACAATCCCACATGCTGAGTCTCTCTCCTGCCTCATGTAAGGGGCCCCAGTCAGAAGGACTGTGCTTCTTGGCACATTCCTACTTCTCTCTGATGATGGGCATCTTGCTTGACTGAGCTTCTCCTCCCCCTCCCAAGAATCCCATTGCCCAGGGTGATCAGACATGGTGCCCTCAGCCTTCAGGCCTAAACAGCCAGAGTAATCCTGCCTGGAGCCAGACAGGGAACTCTGTATAAACCGTGGGATTTTTCCCGGGCTCCATACCAACAACTGTTTATTCAAAGCAAAAACGTCTTAGGTGTTGGCAAGACACCAGGCTGAAGATGAGCTTATCTTTCATGGGTGCTTCTTAATTAGAACCTAAAAATTTTAAATCCTACTCAGTCACACTCATGCTGGCTTTCTTTAGCTTTTAGAGTCTAGAGAAGATCAAAATTACTATTCGCCCAGAGCAGCATTAATTGGCCACAGTATCCGGTGGTTTCATTGCTCCGTAATAAGGTTATTTACGCTCTTTCTCGAGTTCTTTAATTACTATGCACATGGATTCCCATCTGCCTTTACTCATAGTGGCCCGAAGATCTTCCCTAACTTCTTAAGGTATTCTTTCCCCGACGACAACACACCGATCCCCAATCCCCGAGGCTGGTGTGCTGTGGAGAAACGGAAGGCGTTCATTTCCCTGGTCGTAAAACCCCACATCTACTGGTGACAAGTCAGAAGAAGCCAGAATGCTCTTTCCAAGCCAAAATCCCAGGCACAAACGAAGTTAGCGTCTTGGCCAGGAAGCCGAAAATGCGATAGACCGTCCTACCCTTCCCAGTGGTGCTCAAGATGTGCAGCAATGAAGTGGCTTGTGCATTTGGGCTGAGGGGTGCCGGCTTTTGGTGCTTCTGTTGCTTTCCTTCTGGCTAGCCATTTTCCAAAATGCTGTGAATGGTCCCGCACGAGAAAAACACTATGCAAATATAGGCGCCCTGGGACCTCGACGGAGGGGGTGCTCTGAAGCTGGTGGGTGAATGCAGAGAGGGAAGCAAGACTGCAGACCACCCGTGCTACAGACCAGGGAGAAACGGAGAAGTCACGGCTCTCCACCCTAAACAGCGCCGGCCGCCCGGAAGAGTAGAGAAGCGTCCTTCTACCGCCTAGAGAGGCTAAACCCGCGTGTCCGCTCTGCCTGCGCCGCGTCTCTATGGCGGCCCTAACGGCCCATTTGGTGGCTGAGCAAAATGAACGCGGGCGGTGATTCCGACGATAGCAGCGCTTCGGTTGCTGCGCGATCGGCGAGGTCCGGAGAAGGGAGCCTCGCGGAGGATGGCTTTGTCCCGTCGGCGCTGGGGACCCGAGAGCAGTGAGTGCGGCACGGAGTCAGGGGAGGCTGAACGTCGTAGGAGGGCAAGGACCCCGGGAATGAAAGTGTCTTGGGGGCCTAAGGGGAGGAGCCTGAAGGGCCGCCTTGGGGCGTTTAAGAAGGTTTGAATGGAGGAGTCCCAGCAGCCGCTTGCGGGAGCTGGAAGGGTTTTCAAGAGAAGGGATTTGTGGGTGCGGGACGGGCTCAGAAGCTCTTGGGGAGGCCTTGTAGGGGTGCTGAGCTGGCACAGGCTTGGGAGAAAGAAAGAGGGGTGAGGCTGGCGAATAGGGCTGGTGGGCAAGAGTAAGAGGCCGAGGGGCTTTAACTGAAAAGGCTGAAGAGTGTGAGACTTGGAGGGGCAGATGACGTGAGGAGGGAGTGAGGAGATAGCGGGGCATGGGGTGGGGTCGCGAGAAAGTGATCGGACGTAAAGGCTCAGTAATTGCTTAATGAATTAACAGGTGAATGAATGAAAGTGGGGAACCGTTAGGATCAGAAGTAACTTGGCTGAAAGGAAGCAGAGATTCTGGAGAGATGAAGGGGAGAGAAGGCATATGGGGGGTACTGTGTTTAAGAGGACTAAGTGAAAATACGAACATAGGCTCAGAATACAGGAGGAGGTGGAGACAAATAGCAGAGGAAGTAGACTGGTTTAGGACTTAACCTTTAAGCAGATTTTTATCTCTCGTGGGTTTTCCTGTATGAAAATCCTGTTTGCACAGTGAAGACCAAATACTTGGTAACAACTCTATGCTTGCACGCAGAGTTTTGGACCTGGGTCTGGGATTTAAGCAATTTGGATAATTGTCTCTTGATACTTTTTTTTCTGTGATAGTTCAGCCTCATTTTATATAGGAGGAGATGGTAGCACAGAAAGGATACCTTTCTAAGGAAAACATTGGAAACTTTGAATATAGTCATTGAAATTCAGATCTCATAAAATGACAGTGTCTTGAGAATAGAGACATTCTGTTCTATTTATTTATTTCTATATTATTAAAACCACTGGCAGGCTGGGAATATAGCTCAGCGGAACAGCGCCTGCCTCGAAAGCGTGAGGTCGTGAGTTCGATTCCCGGTACCAAAAACAAAACAAAACAAAACAAAACAAAAACCACTGGCAAAAATTGCTACAAACCCACACCCTCACACAGGCTGGCCCAGCGCTCTCTTTTCTAAATGTACATTTTTAAGCTAAAATTTATATAACATGTATCCATCGGATATTCTGAGTGCTTTACATGCATGCATAAACTTATTCTGTTTGCCCACGCTTTCATTCTTTTAACCCAAGGATGTTAAGAAATTGAATTATGTGTGCTTCTTGCGTTTTTTGTTTGTTTGTTTTTGTTTTTTTTCTGGTACCGGGAATCGAACTCACGATCTCTCGGTTGCCAGGCAGGCGCTGTGCCGCTGAACTAAATCCCCAGCCTGCTTATTGCATTATTAATAATGTTTTAAACTTCTTTATGGTATATTAGGAGCACATATTTAACTCATAATACGGTTTAATTCTAGAATCTCACCGTGTATTTTATTGTTTACATAGTTGGAATGCTGTCTATGAGAGAGAACTACAAACCTTCCAAGAATATGGAGATACAGGAGAAATCTGGTGAGTTAGAAAAATTACTACCCAGTATATTGTATTGAGATGATTATGTGGTCTTACACCAAAGAAAGGCAACCTAAAATTTTTTTAACCCTGGATTGAGTCTGACTTAAATGGGTAGAATTAAAGCTTCAATTGTTCAGAATATTAGGGAATTATTTTTGTTCTTTAGTTGTGTTTTTTTCAATAAGCAATAATTTTGAGCCATCAACATATACTGATCAAGAAAACAGTTGTTGGGACAATATTTTCAATATTGTTGCTGATGTAGAGAAGTATTAGCAAGTAACAAACTGACTTGTCTATTTTGTTCTATTTTTAACTATAGAGACAAAAGTTCCACAGTCACAAATACTATTCACGTTCAAAAAAAGGCTTGGTTAGGCATGTGGTATAAACACCTTAAATGGAATATCACTGTAACTTTTGCTCTGTTCGTCACTTGTAATTGATTCTGTTTCTGACAGGTTTGGGGAAGAGAGTATGACTCGACTAATAAGGTGGATGCAGAAACACAAGATCCCATTGGATGCTTCAGTGCTCGATATTGGAACTGGAAATGGTGTTTTCCTGGTTGAACTTGTTGGTACTTTTAGTTATTCCTGTGTTTGAGCCAAACTTTAAATGAGATTTCTAAAAAGTCTTGCAATTGATGTTAAACATCTAAATGTAAAGTAGTAGTGAAGTAGCTGTGTCATTTTGAGAGGGCGCGTGGTTCGTGAGGAAGACTGGCTGGGTGGGGAGAAAGCACTACGAGAGTGGTGCGAGTCATTACGCTGAAACACAGTCCCCAAATTGGTAATGCCAAGTGCTGCTAATGCAGAAGATCGGATCCCTAAAGTCTTAGCACCACCATCACAATCCTAGAAGATTACGGTCTCACATGTTGAAATCTTGGAAGCTAAAATCTTGAAAGCCCACAATTCCCATTGAAAAAATGGCTTATTTAAGAGCTGTAGAAAGCAGAACACTAGAGAAAGGATGAGTGTATTTTCAGTTGTGTGTGTGAAAGTTCTATCCTGTTAAGCAGAGTGTATACTGAGAAACCTGGTTGAGCATTGTCTTGGGCATGTCCGTGAGGAGGTTTCCAGAGGAGGCTACTGTCTTGAGTCTGGGTGGAGTATTTGGAGAATATCCTCTCAGTTTGTGTGGGCAGCATGCAGTAGGCCTGGGGTCTTGCGAGAACAGTTACAGAAAATGAATTGGTCTCTTAGTGGTAGGACAGAGTTTTCTTCTACTGTTTTTGCATAAGCCTTTGGTATTTGCATGAGTTAAAGTGTGGAATTTAGTAGCTAAATAATCTGGCAAGGAAACAGCAACAAGTCGGTCCACTTTATCATTATATTTAACCATGTCACCAGAAAGATGTGAGTGAGAACGGATATGAGTTACGAATATAGGAAAATGTCTATTCCGGATATTAGTCTGTAATTGACCGAACAATTGATCAAGTTCAGTAGCATTTGATAAAGTAGCTGTTTCCATATGATTAACTGTGAACCATACATATTGAGAGTCTGTGACAATATTTATAGGTTCCGGGACATCTAATAAAAATTGGGTAACTGCCTGAAGTTCTGCTCATGGTGCTGAAAGAAAAGGAGTGTGCCACACTTTTGAAATCTTTCCTACATATCCAGCTTTTCCATTACTGCTACCATCAGTATAGTGCGTGTCTGCTGCCTTTATGGGTTCAGAGCGCACAATTCTAGACAAAATCCAGTTATGCCGTTTAAGAAACTGTAAAAGCTTACAGTTAGGAGAATGATTGTCTATTTTTCCAGTATAATCAGCAAGTCTGATCTGCCACTGTTCACTCATTTGTAACGCTTGATCTATTTGTTGCTTTGTTAAGGAAAAAATAATAGATTCAGGGTCTTTTCCTAATAACTGTCGTAAATGAGTTTGGCCTTTAAATATGAGTAGGCCTATTTTGTTTATATATGTAGTGAACCACTTCTGTTCCTTGTGTGGAAGAAATATCTATTGTAAAACTGCCTCCTCCTGCCATAATGTGGCTGTAGGAGAATGAGATGATGCAAAAATTAGAAGTGACAGTAGAACATCAATTTCTGGCCTTGGGTGTCTAGGACTTAACACCAGTGGCTCCTGGTCCTCAGGCTTTTGGTCTTGGACTGAGATTTGCACCATTGGTTTTCTTGCTTCTGAGTTCTTTGGGCTTAGATTAAGCCATGCTACTGGTACCCCAGGCTTTCAGGTTGTCTGTTTCACAGCCACAATGGTTACGTGAGCCAACTCCTCCAATAAATTCTCTCTCATATATTCACCTACATATCTTACTGGTTTTGTTTCTCTGGAGAACCCTAAGAAGGATTTGCTATTGGGGAGACCAAATATTGTTACTTTGTTTTGTTGTTGTTACTTCTTACAGTATTCCTTTCAACACAATGGAAGGAATTTGTGAGTTTGTTCTCTTGAAAAAAGGCTGTGATAACTTTGGTGTTCTTAGAGTACTTCATGGTGAAAGATAAAACTTTGAAAGCTGATTATTGGTGCTGTGAAAACAATATTGTTTAGTTGCAATAATCAGATTTTCCTTTTTTTTGTCTTTTTGAGACAGGGTCTCACCATGCAGTTCAGGCTGGCCTTGAACTCACTTTGTAGCCCAGGATGGCCTCAAACTCGCAACAATCGTCCTGTTTCAGCCTGCCAAGTACTGGGATTACAGGTGTATGCCACCATGGCCAGCCAGATTTTCTTTTTGTAATACTGGGGATTGAACCAAGAGCCTCATGTATGCTACATCCCCAGCCTTAACCAGACTTTCAGGTGGATAACTTAGAAAATTTGTAGACCAGAATCACTCTCTAAATAAAAGTGCAGTGTCTCAGAGAGCAAAGAAATGAAAATGGAGGTGAAAAATGCAAGCAATCTCCCTCTTAAAATTACTCAGTTCTGTACTATTTCTGTTCCTTCATCTATAGCATCATATTTACTTTAAAAAAATATACTTTTTAGTACAGAAGAATTTGATGAGTTTATTACTTTCTGAACCAAAGGCACTTGAAGATATAGAGGTGTCCTTAGTGTTAGAAAACATATTAAATGGGACTAGAGATTTGACTATTGAAGAAGATAGATTTCTTATATTTACCACTAAGTCTAACATTGAAAAATTAGTGGATGCCTCACTTTGGCTAATGGATGGCACTTTCAAAACTGTCCCAGTGTCCATTTTTTAAAAAATCAAGTACATATAATTCATGCTCTTATTGGGTCTGAAAATTCTAGAACTTATCTGCTCCTTTATCTATAAATGACTAGAAAAACAGAGTTTTTAAAGGCTTATTTGAAGACTTAGTGAAGAAAATGAGTTTCAGTTGAATTCTCAAATCATACTGACAGGTTGGAATTATGTGTGATTAGAACTTCTAAAAGTGAATTTCAGGATGTTACCGATAAAGTTTTTTTTCATTTAGCCTAATGCATTTGATAGAAAATTCACATGAATATCGGTCTTCTAGCTGATGAAATTCCAGAAAATTTTTAATAAATTAGAGCCAGAGCCAGGTGTGGTGCACATCTGTAATCCCAGCACTCAGGAGGGTAGGCTAGGATCATGAGTTCAATGTCATCTTAAGCTACACAGCAAATTCAAGAGTGGTCTAGACTATATAGTAAGACTGTATCTCAGAAAAGCAAGCAAACAAACAAAATAAACAAAAGAGAGGTGTGTTTATCTGAAGAAGCCAGTAAAGTTACTGACTTGTTTGAAAATAATTATATGCCTCTCAGGATAAGATAATGTGGTGCTGCTATTCCATAGCCAGTGTTTCTGCCAGATTTATGAGTGCATACAGAATGGACTTCTGGGCTGGGGACATAGTTCAGCAGCATAGCACCCACCTCGCAAGTGCAAGGTCCTGAGTTTGATTCCTGACACCAAAAAAATAAAAAAGATTGGATTTCTGTTACCAAAACATCATAGGAGCATGGTGCAGAAGATGGAAAACTTTAGTAGGAAATTCTCCAGTCACTGTATGTTGAATCATAGAAGAATTTCAAAAGTAGCAACATCACATTGAATGTGAACATGAATATATTTTCAAAGGACAGCCATGCCTTTAAAAAAACCTATTCATCTTAGTGTGAAACTTCAAAATATAGTTAAAGATTTTGAAAGTTGGTTAGGACTGAAGGACTGCTTTCATGTATTTGCCCATAATTTATCCCTGTAATACATTTTTTTCATATGTTGAATTTTTATATTTTGTTCCTTTAATTTTTTTCCTGCTATTTTAAATTTTTAGCATTATTTTTGTGTCTATGTGATGCTGGGGATGGAAACCAGGGCCTTGTGCATATGAGACAAGCGCTTTTTCGCTGAGCTGTATACCCCTAGGTTGCAATTTTTTTTTTTTGTCTTTTTGAGACAGGGTCTTGCTATGGAGTTCAGACTGGCCTTGAGCTCACTTTGTAGCCCAGGCTGGTCTCGCACTCGCAATGCTTCTCCTGCCTCAGCCTCCTGAGTGCTGGGATTACAGGTGTATGCCACCACGCCTGGCTCTAGGTTGCAATTTTTATACTTTTCTATACTGTGTTTTTCATATCTCCATTGTTTTCAATGTCAGAAGTATAAATTATATAAAGACTTCTAGAGAATTCTTATTTGTGGTTTTTTTTTTTTTCCAAATTTAATTCTACAGAAGTGCATTATCACAACATTGATTTTGTGTATACGTATTATGCTTGTACATAAAAACATTGAAACTTCCTTGATAAACAAGAGATGTCCTTTTGGCATGCCTGCACTTGTGAAAGATAAAATTTCTTGCCAGATATGGTGGTGCATGCTTGTAATTGCAGGTACTCAAAGGCTGAGGCAGGAGGATTGAAAATTCAAGACCAGCTGGGGCATGGTGGCACATGCCTGCAATCCCAGCACTTGGGGAGGCTGAGGCAGGAGGATCATTGTGAGTTTGAGACCAGCCTGGGCTACAAAGTGAGCTTAAGGCCAGCCTGAACTGCATAGTGAGACCCTGTCTCACAAAGACAAAAAAAAAAGAAAAAAAGTTCAAGGCCATGCTGGGCAGTTTAGCAAGACCCTCTCTCATAATTTAAAAGAATGGGATGTAGCTCAGTGCTCCTTCAGTTCAATTCTCAGCACCGCTAAAGGGGTAGTGGTAGGGGGAACTTGGTCTCTTTAAGCATCTGCATTTGTGGTGCTGACCCATTGCACTTTCTGATCTATCTTCTCAAGACTTAGATTGTCCTTCATAGTATGAATTGAGTGCAGCTCTAAGGTTGGGGATGCAGTTACCAACCATAGTGTTTGTGTTCATGCATTTTTGATTTCTTGGTAGATATGATTTGTCTGCTCATAAACTGTTAAGCCTAGTGCATATCATTAGTATATCAGTGATTATGTTTCCACAGTATGTATATTATTAATGCCTGTTTGTTACATAAAATGGCCTATGAATGACTTTCATGTTTGTGTTTAGAAATCCTTAAAAATATAAATAGATGTCTTTAGCACAGTGTTTAAAATTTTTGTCTGAAGGTATATTTTTGGGATTTTGATCTTTCAGGATTTTATACTTCAGGAATTTTGATCTTTT